ATATGTGATACTGAATTAACCTGTCATTGTGAAAGTGAAAATGAAACATTGTATGACTTTCCTTACATCCTTTACGGTGTGAAAACAATGTTTAGAAACAGTTTGAAAAACCTGTAGCTAAAGTACAATCCCGAAATAGTTCGTGGTCTCCTTATCCTCTTCTAATTTCTCAGCGCGTATTCCAAGGTTTAAAGGGTTACACCTGATTACCGATGAACATAACAGATACTGATTTTACCTGATGGAGCTCATGTCTTAATTCCTCTCATATCTGGCACATGACGTTTTGTAACCTTCAGCTGATCGAGCTGTGAGGGTAGTTGATACTTCCCGGCTGCCCACACCGTGGAAGGCTATTTCTTCTTAAGGTACCTGAAAGATATTTGTGTGACCACAGAGCCCGTCGGACATCTACTTGAGGCCTGTCACACGTAGCCTTTTGAGTACGATTATTTTAAACTTTTGTATTTTTGGGGCCGGATGATTGAAAGGAAACGACAAATGAACCAACACCGCAGGCCCGGCAGACCGTGGGACATGGTGGAGTGTGTTATTTTTGGGATCGACCTTTTCTACCCTCCCCCCTTTCACTGAGAAGGCGGCATCAGCATGGCGCTGCTGGTCATCCAGGGTAAACACCTTACTGCTGTCGCAACCCATCCAGCTAGCAGTAGTACGACTTCGCCTTCAGACCCTCATCATAATGTAGTAATTTACACCACAACGGTAACTACTTTTCGTCTTACCACTATCCAACATACCTTTTTGGTATGGTAGGACCTCGAGGGAGCAAGCGTTCCACCAGCATGGCTCGTTGGGTCAAGGTAGCAGCTATCGGTTGGGAGTAACCTTCAGTGATACAGATGATTTTTATCTGGTGGTGGTTTGTCTGTCACCTAGAGTTACGTAAGGTAGGCTTACTTGTCTTGCTGAGGATTCTACCTTCAATATAGAATTTTCAACTGGTTTGTGATAACTGCAAACTCAGAAAGCCTTCCACATGCAGAGTGTATAGTTTTCACAAATCGTTAGACCTGAGTGGAGTTGTAACTAAAGCTATCTTTGAATAAATAGCGTGCATTTAGAAAAATTCAGTTACTCCGCATTATAAAGATCAATTTTCATATCATGACAACCGGCTTATTCATTAAAATTAAGGCTTTCAGATAAAAATGAGTCACAGATCTGGTGGCTACTGATTGAACTCATCAGAATAAACTCAGTATACAAGTCGCATTCAAATTCTGGGTACTCTTATTAATCACACGTTAAAATGCAGCAGTTCAATCGCGATAGAGTTTATTTCTTAGCGGTAAAAATGAACCAGACTAATTAATCCGTAAATATTCATTGACATAATAAGAAGTTATTTTTACTAATTCGTTCACGTAGTTTGTAGGGAATGGGGCTCTTGTAAGATCGTTTTCACCGACCAATAACGTCAGCTTGAAAACCAGTGAAGATCAGAAATCATTAGACATTTTTTCACTATCTTAAACTGTTCAAAAAGGCACATCATTAACTCCACACAACATGCAGGCAATTACTCTTTCAGTGTAGATTACTAACCTGGTTTATAATGAATTTTTGAAGATTTATTGAGAAGCTGTGACTGAATGAGTCAGTTTATTCAGAAGTGAAGATGGATATCGACCGACGAAAGTGAATGATAATCATACCAAATCAAAAAATGAAAAACCAATGAATTGTATGGAGTTTTGACGGTATACCACTGAACTATCCAGTGCCCTGTGATTTTCTATGTTTAGCCCAGTGATAACAACGCATTCTTTAAACCAAGCTATTAATCATACCATGGGTCAAGAAACAACAACATCGTACAGATTCTGTTAATCAGCTAGCAAGATATGACTAATCTGTTTAGATTTCAGAATCATCCAGAATAAACTGAGCACAGAATAAAACGAACTCAGAAATTGGGTAATTAGCAAACAGAAAAGCACAGATTGTTTTCTTTTGTCTACCATTTATCTTTGTGAGTACAGAATTTTAGAAGAATAACAAACCTTTCAACCAAAGATGCCACATTTAATCTTTTCTCAACTAGACATTCTTAGATAAAATGATTCCAGTGTACAAAATAAATAAATAGTAAGGTGTAGGAAGATGGCTAAACTGATAAAAACTGTCTTGTATCACTAATATTCAGAATATCAGATCAATTATTCATTTGCTACACTGATACTTAAAATCTGATGCTTTCTAAGTCTTTTATATGAACGCGGAAAACATTATCTGTTGTTCAGCTAGGTACATTGTGCTGAAAATCATATTTGGATAATAAAAAATGTGGAGTATTTATGAGAAGGGAGACTGAAATATGAAAACTGAATTATTACATTAATGAACTACAGTTCACTGAGACAAACGATTCAGAATCTCAAGGCAAAAATAAATGTATTATGTCACACTATTGGTTTCGCTTAAAAGTATGATGATGCCGAATAAGCTCTCTTTCAATGATGCCTACTATGGGATTTACTAGTTTTCGTTTATGAGTTATGTGACTGAAATAGGAAGGGTGTATTAAGTAGGATTATCTTGGCTTTAAACGTTGTCGACTGATCAGTCTTCAAACAAATCTATTTCAAATGGTCTGCTTAAAAATCAACCAGTTGTTACCACTTTCTACGCAGCTCGATTTTCATTAGCATAGGAATGTGTCCTTGTAGAACTAGAGTGACGAACAAAGAACACTTATACAGTACACATCTTTATGATGCAAGGTTTAGTTTATGATTATCGGTAATGGAATACAGACACTTGGTTTTACAGCTTCATTACTTAGAGCAGCCTATGAAGATCAAGACAAGCGACTACGAAACTACTGCTTCAACTATGTTTTTTGGAAAGTAACGAAGTCGAAAAAGGCTGGAGAAGTTTACGGTGTTTTAATCTCGTATCTTATTTGGATACCTAGTATGAATGGATTTAAAAAACTGGTGTTTTCTCAAACTTAACACCTCTGACTTTCTAGTGTATCTTTCTACATCGTCTATTACTTTGTATTACTGAAGTATGTAACACATTAGAGTCGTTATATACTCACACTAAACGTTCAGTAGATTGAAACGAATAGAAGTCCTGTATACCTGTGGGCGTTCGTCATAATTTTCTAGAAAATGAGAAACTCTTCGCAACCAAATGCTTTCCTATAAGTTAAGACAAACGAACAAACACAAGTTGATAACCTGACTAAATCATTCGTAAGCCTGTCAAATTTTGTTGTGACTGGAGACCACTTGTGGTCTATGGGGCCTCGGAACACAAAGGAAAAATCATTTCATGTGACAAGGCTATCGTAAATACAATGACTCAAGAAAAGTTGAATATGAAATGAAGTTTCTTTACCTTGTGGTAAAAGATAACCGCCATTTAACTCATACAGTTGATTTCCCATTTTCGAGGCTAGATAGCGTTGTTGATCGGATGTAATTTATTGCATTGTGCATCTGTTATTTTTATGTATAAAAGAGAGACTGTAAGTAGAATGAAGACCATTAGTAGGGAGCTTGTTAATAGCAGCTTGTCTTGAGTACATTTTAGTAGGTAACTCACCGATGTGTGTAATCGTCATCAAGTGGAAATTGGGATTGGGTCATCAGACTTAAAGAAACTAGAGTCATATAACAGTCCGAAGGTAAAATCAGATCATGTGAACAAATTTGAAAATTTTATTTGTCGTTATCACAGTCAATATTGAATTCACTTGAACCATGAACAAAGAAATGTCTTGACTATCAACACTGAAGCTTTGCTTTAACGTATAGTAAACCATTAGTTTTATTACCTGAGGTAGCCATGGTTTGGCAGACTTTTTTTATCTTGGGTACTGATCGAAGATGAAATGAAACTTTCGGTCGCAGCAGATAGTGGAGCTAATAATCAGTATGATGCTCTCCCTTTCTAGTCCATCTCGATTTGGATTCGTATGAGAAGTCCTGACTGGGCAGGCAATGTGAACACAATCAGTAGACAGTAAGGCGTCATGAATTAACATCGCAGTCAAGCAAAACCATTAGTAATTGAAGTGCAATTAAGGTCTGGCCACCAGGTGATTGTCGCATCTCAGTTACTAGAAAATCAAGCCAGTAAACCAAAGGCTTCTGGTAAATATCCAGATTTTCACCTCACCTTCAATCATCCTTTACTTTTGTCAATTTTATATTTGTGCTTTTACACCTTGATTACAGTGAAGTAATCAACTATGGCTGTTAATAGGGTTAAACATTTTCGATCACTGTGTCAATTTTTAACGTCCATTATACCACTGACACACCGATAATATTCACATTCAAAAATGGAATCTTCTAATTCAACAGCTTATTTAGCTGTTCTGGGTTCAGTAGGACCAGTGTACGGTTAAAGAAGTGGATGAAAGGTTCTAGAACAAATTAGAAACTTAAAGCACCCAAACAATTCATATTTTAAGGCTAAAAATTGGCATTCCATACAACAATAGGCAAACAAGCTGATTACTATTGTAATTTTACTCTTTAAAAGTTTATTTCTTATTTCAGTTACATTGTTAAGGATAAAATAATGATCTCATTTCTATTGTATGAAACATTTCAAGGTTTATCGATTCAAAATAAGGACATAAACTGAACGTATAAGAAATAAAGGCTTAAGAATAGCAGCTATCAAATCAACACTGACATATATATTTTCATTTCAGTACTGAATAGATAGTATTTAAATGTTGAAGCAATATATGGTAAACTCGATAAAGTGTTTCTAAAGTGTAACCCTGTGATTGCTAATGACTAATTTTATGTCTGAATTTTCTCCGTAGGTACCCATTACTTAATGTATATTCTTCTAATGATATCAATCAGTTTATCTTCATATACATGTAAGATAAGAGAAACACGTTTTGTCATTGACAGTCAGATACGTGTGTTACAGTCATAAAGGTAGATTATGAAAACTGTAAACGAGTAGGTAATAAAGAGGAAATACATTCAAGTACTACTTACATTATTCCGACCAACTTTACGTAAGCCATCCAAATACCTTTCAACTGGTTCACCGTTTACCAGCCAAGTTATTGTTGCTGATGGCTTGGTAATCTCTTCATCAACACTGCATCGCAGTGAAATACTACCATTCTCGGGTACAACTGTATTCTTGGGGTAGTCAGCAAAATGAGGTTTACCTATGGATGATATAAACAAAAAGTTAAAACTTTTAAAGGGATATATAAACACCAAAATCGAAAATGTTAGATTTAGCTTAAAAATAGAATGAAAATATAGCTTTTTATAAGAAATAATCCTCAATGCATCAAACCAGACAAGAAGTTCAATCAAATTATGTTTACAGAAATTGTATTCCCTTAAAATATGCCAGTTCAATTCGATATGTTTTAGTTCATGGTATTTTACTCTTTAATACTTACAGAAAACTCTTTATTGAAAGATGGACATTAAAGAATGTCATTTTTCAAAAATATGATAGAAATAATGTTAAAAATGTTATGAATGGTGAAAGTTGATAAATCAATGGCGTACGAACTTAGAAAGACAACAGGTTTGAATATAAAGCTATATGATAGGTTGAGATAATTATTTTCAAGGTTGAGTGATAAAGCGATTATCAGTGATAACATTGATAATAATAATAATGCAACCTAAGTGCACATTTGTTTCCCAGGATCTCAGTAGCACAGTGTGTGAAGATGCATGATTCTACAGCGTTGCACAGATAGATGGAAGTGTAATCAGATTCAAAACCATGATTTACAATCTAAAATTCAAATATTTAAGCCAAAAACTTATCACAAGTAGACATGAAAATATAGTGTAGAAAACATTAAGTTATTATTGACTTTCGAAACTGGTAGTTTAGACTACAGTTGAAAGAGATTTGTACTACTGAGGATTTTGTGGTGCAATAGTGTAGTAAATTCATTGAATAGAGGAATCTGATGTTACAGTATGATGTAGCCGGTTTTGACCCGGTACTTAATGATAGCAGTTTGCCAAGATATAATATCATAAACCTGCGAGATTGTTAATTAGTATCCTTGAGTCTATTTTGAAAGGGAATCAATCGAAAGACTGATAAACTTGCCTTAAAACCTCTTGAATGACTGAATTCTTACATTTCAGTTTAACTGGTGGTTTTTTTTCGATGTGTTCTATTTAGTTTCAGTCGTATCACTGCATTCAATAAAACAATACATCTAACAATTAAATATCACTAAACAATATGTGAAAAACAATGATTACGTGATTATGAGGAGCGTTCAGGGTATTACAATTACTTGGGTGTAAGTATGCCATCGTATTACACGAGCATGTCAAAGAGTGCTACGTGTTTTCATATTGTTCAATCCTCGGTTATGACAAAATTCACTGAATTATTTCAATAAGGTAGCAAACACGGTCAATGATTCAGTGTCGTGATGTTGTGTATTTAGTGGTAAAGGGTTGAAATGGACCATAATGAGACCTCTTAATTATAATTCTTGCCTTTTTGCACTTATCAGCAATATGTTATTTGCAACTTCAAGTAAGCTCTAAACCACTTGTCATAAAAAAACTGGGTCATTGTTTTTTTATACTAAACAAACCTAAGAAAGGTCTGATGTGACGCAAGGTGAGCAATAGATTGTTGAGTGAAACATTCTATTTGAAGTGAGACATCAGTGTTTGGAGAAAATAGTTGGACTTCTTTATCCAAGGATATAAAAGAAAGATTTACTGTTATATTAGTGAGAAAGACCTTTAGTTTCTTCATTATTATATTTTATAGTGTTACTATTCACCTACATGAATAATTTAAGCTTAGCTATGCGTAGGTTAAAATATTATGCACGATAACTTTCAGGTTTACAGATGAATCATTTTCTAAATGGTTCGTAATATCAACCGTGCATACTGAATATTCATACGTATGAAGACAGACACCTGTCAATGAATGTTCCAGAGAGGCTCTTTTCCTTTTCATAATGATTATTTCTAAACAGCATTGGGTGCCACGGGTTATAATCTCTGATAGAATATAAGTTCTCTGAAGCTTGTAGATGTACCTCAAGGATGGATATCAACAGGCATAGAACCTATGTTCATGACTCTCCGTAGACTGCCTTCAACAGTCTAACATCAGAGTAAAATTAGGAAATTTAAGAAAAGAAGATAACATTTCTATCATTTAGTAGTGTAGACCTAAGTACGTTAATACTACTTTAGATTCAGAATAGGAAAAAGACGGATATGGTTCGATCGGTTGCTTCTATTGATCTGTGTTAGAACATTATGTGGGTTTATCGGTGTCAACCAAAGCCTCCTCTGACGTTTATTTCTTCCAGATTCTTGAAACGACTGGTATATCACAGACTTTAAGAAAGATGTGGCTTATCTAAGGGTTAGGTGAAGAACGATGAGCTGTTGTGTGCCATTCGTGAGTTTATCACTTAACAGCTTCATTTCGAACGATAACTTTCACTAACTCAAATTGTTAAGGAAAAACTCCCTCCCCCTTCATAAGTATTGATAGATGTGCACCTATAGGACAAAAAAGTCATGAGTGGGAACAACTTTTTTCGATAAGTCATCAAGTCTTAGTTCCCTGTCTGAAATGAGATAAAAGGAGACTGTTTCAGAATGTGGAATGAATTAAGTTTTCTTTGTTTAGATTAATATTTGTTCTGAAAAAAGGCTTATTTCCCTGTATTCAGTAAATACACTTTAAAGCTCGTTCCTTCTAGCAAACTGACAATGTATTGCATATCTGGAACTTAGAACATAATGAAGTGAAGTCAAATGCAAATAATTAAAATCAACCGAGAAACCATCCTCTATTCTGCTCTTATAAGGAAGCCCAAGCTGATAGCAAGCATAATTGGCTGCTTCTATGCCCAAAAGGTTTCTTCACAAGTATTGTACTGCCATCCACTCATTTTCGCTACCGAAACGAAATCCTTTAACAATGATAGTTTCGAATGAAATTTCTTGCTCACAGTACAAAAGTTGAGGTCTAACTAGAAGGAATTAATTGATTAGTGAGTAATTACTAAACAATAAACTTAACATTAAAAAGGTTTTTATTGTTAATCAGTTAAAAATAACAAAAGAATCTCATTATGACATCTAAATATCATCATATCATCTAAATAATGTAGCGCATTCATGTAATTTAATCAATATTGTGAAATGACTAATCAAACATTATGCGCTACAATCATGTTGAAATTGCCAGCGTGATCATTACAACCCTCAGTTTCCGATGAATTCATTCGTAAAGAAACAAACAAATTAAAATGTCGCAGAAGGTCACAAAATACTTTAATAAGAATGACTTGATCTTGAATAATTTAGTAAGGAAGAAATATATGGGCAGGTGAGCATTGATAAGCATAACCTTGACAGAGAATATACAATGCAAGAGATGAACTTAATGCAAGTTTAGACTCACTTTCAACATCTACATCAAATATAACTTGAGGATTATCCATAGCTGGTGCTGTATAACTTGAACTCATTGCACTGCACCGATAACTGCCACGATTAATAGTTTTAACGCTTGGAATGTATAATTCTGTACCATGATTTTTCAGTTTTATTCCATACTTCTCAGGAAGCTGTTAGAATTTTTGAGAAAAAAAAGGGTAACAATACACAATATCCAAAATCTGAAATAAATAAATGTGTCTGGTTTGCAAAACAAATAATGTACATGTAAATATCCTACAGAAATACAGACTCAAGTGACTGGAAATATTAATTCCTGAGAAATTTCAGATAACCAAAACTGTTATTAGTGATAAACAGTGGTAAGCATTTTCATAAGTGAATTCAGTATTCCTTCTATAGTCATGTTTCAGTTCACTAGATTCAACGCCCAAATTTTAATTCATGAGCCTATTTGATTTGAGTAATAATGACGTAACGATGATTAATGAGTTTCATGCGTAATGAATTGCTGATCTCCAGCGTATATATGTTATGAAAATAAATTACAAGTTCTCTATGTGAAGATAGATTCTAAGTGGTATTTCAAATACACTATCAACACCATACGTTTGCCGGTTAGACTTTTGGGCTCTGTATCCTAGAAGATGGGATGAATGCATTTCAAATCCCATAAATAATCAGTTAGATGTGTATTATTTTATCATTACTTTTCCCTTGGGTTCCTGGTGGAACTTAGGGCTTCAGTAGCACGCCTCCATTGCACTCTCTTCTTTCCACTCTTCTCTTTTAAACCTGGAATCACGACTGCCCACAACCTCTCATTTCTTCTCCTCATGATCTCCTCCATGTCACCCTCTCCTCCAACGCCCAACTCGTCGTTTCCTATCTAGGTACCACTAGAGGTCCTGGCCTGGTGCGTGATGTCCCCAGTCAGCCTTCTCAATGTACGTCCGATCCGTCTTCACTTTCTTCTGAATATTTGTTGGGTGATGGGTTCTGGGTTGGTTAGTTCGTTGCCAGCCAGAGTTCATCGTTGCTTGTTCTTTCTGGCCTCCTGATCTTCAGTATCAAGCCAGCGTAGAGAACTGTTGATGAATGTCTGTAGTTTGTTGAAAATGCTTTTCGTGACACACCAAGTTTCTGAACCATTTAGCAGCACTGACTTGACATTGATGCTGAAAATCCGGATATTGTTCACGCTTTGTGCTGAGTTCAGTAGAACTCCACACTGATTTCATAATTATGAAGCCTACCTTGCTTTTCCGAACCTGGTTTTCACATCCTCGTCTGTGCCACCACCGCCTGTAGTTGAAACGATGTTGCCTTGCCTAGGTAGGCGAAAGAGACTACTTCCTTTAGGCTCCTCTCGTTAATGGTGATTAGTGCTTGCTGTTGATGCTGTTGTTGGTTAAGTATCTTCATCACCTCTGTCTTCTCTACATTCACTTGAAGTCCAATCTTCGCTGCCCTAACTCTTCTGTCAACTTGTTGGATTTTGCCTGTAGATCTTCAAGTTTGTGTGACACTAGACACAAGTCATCGGCGAAATCCAAATGCATCCGTATCTCTCTGTGAGTGTTTTAGCAGCTCACCCTGATGAACTAGTTTGTGTTGGTAGTTTCCTTTGATTACTGTGTAATTGACTGTATGGGTTTTCTTGAAGGCTGTTTTCTTGCTTGACTATTCACTTTTCTGCCTTTCATCATTTTTCTTGTTGGTTGATAGATTGGGTCTATGTCTACACATCCATTGATTCCTAACTGACATGAATCCCAAGCTTCTCGGAATTCTTAGAGGTGTTTTCTGTATCCAAGATTTCTACATTGTCAAGCTTGAATTCATATCCATAGTTATTCACTGGCATTGAAATAAGCAATGAAATATCATGACGTTTAATAGTCAATTGGTGTTTATGTAAACGAAGGCAAAGAGAGAAACCACCTAATCAAATATAGTGTTGACTACATTTATTACAGTTGATTTTGCAAATGATATCTGGTTCGTCTTATTTGGCTGTTGTGCTCTTTGTTCTGCATAATATGGTTTGGGGGAAATTTTTTGGTTTGTGAACCACACTACATTTGAAACTAATTTCAGTAAGCTTCACTGTCATGTCACTCAGATTGCAGGCGAACCTAATCAATAAATTAAGGTTACAACTAAAGACTTGGCAGTTCAGTACTCCCTTGATTCGCATTTGTTACAGCCAATGTTAGCGAAGATTATCTTTGAATATGATTTCAGAAATTAACCAACTGCATTAAACTGGTATTTTTGCTGTAACAGTAAAGCGTTTTCGGCATAGTAAAGTATTCGGTAACTCTTACCTGACAAAAGACTTAAAATTTTCTGTTAACTAAATGATTAAGACCAGAACCAGCATAAGTTGAATGTAGTTAACAGCTTTCAAGTTCAATACTTAGGCATCCTACTCAAAAATTATATTTAATTTATTTCACTTCTCTCTTCTGCTATAATAATGAAGAGCAAATAGTTGTTCAGACATTTTAAGATAAACTTTCCAACTTATTAGGCTAACTTTGGAAATAATTTTCGATTTTTTCCCTTCTATTATTCTTTTTATTCATAACGATATGTTTTTGATGGCTAAAAAGCTCTCATCTCAGCCAAAATTACACAATACATACAAGTAATCTGGTAATTATTTGATTTACAAGATCAATAATAGGAAAGCACTGGTGTTTTAGTAAAAAAGGAAATTCCTAATGCAGTGGAAAAGAATGTGAAAAGCTGCTGAGTTCATAAAACCTGAGCCTCCAGCTACCCATTGGGTGCATGATAATCTGTTCACACAACGACGAGTTCACATGATGGAAAGTGAACCACAAATAAGTTACTGCTCTACACAATGGTTGAGCAAACAACGTTTTTGTAAGAAGTAAAAACCTGATTCAGTTTGTCAGCTGAACAATGTCCAAGTAGTTCATAGTTACTTAAATCTCCACCTGATACATTTTAATAATCCTAAATAATTCATCAATGATATTCAGTGATTCAAATATTTACGACTTTGAGAAGAGATATTTTCAAGTTTATTTCTCCGTTATCTAATTCCTGCTTAGTGATTTTGTGTTTTGACGTTTGGTTGAATTCTCACAAAGTTACAAATGAAATAAATGAGATTGTTGTTTGGTTGATGCCAATTATTGTTTCCAGACTTACCAGTTTAATATTTCTAAACTCTTGATTATTTACTACACCTGAGTTTGTTGATTCCATGAATTCCCAGAGAACTTGTGGCAAAGGACTCCCGTAGATAATACATTTAATCGACAGTGATTCATTAACAAGACCGGTTTGCTTTTCTTCTGAATGGAAGAGAATTTTTGACTTTTCTGGCTTTTTGGAACTTAGAAAATCGTTGAATAATGGAAGTGAATTTGAATAAAATACGTTTATATCCGGACCAGTTTTCATTGTCCGTAAAATCGGACTGTTAACCACGCATGTATAGATAAGATGTTTATTTAACATCCAGTTCAGATTGATCAAGTATAAGTTGCCTAAAGGACATAACCAGAAACACTGAGATAAATAAATATTTTAAACTGAGAAAAAATATACAGTTTCAAATTCGTGAAGACATGTTTCTCTGCAGATTCGATGTATGCTGAAGAACTTCTGTAAGTGTAAAAGTCTTCTGAAGAGATTTAATACCTATCTCCAGCATTTTATAGTATACCATGTTGGACGGTATTCGGAATGAAACTAGAAACACTCAGGCCTCTGTAAGCGAGGTTACTGTAAGGATCATAGTCATCACTTTTGTCACAACTTCAGGCATTTTATGAAGGATACTCTTGCTATCCAGAAACTTCAATAAGAGAAACAAATGGTTGCTTCCAACTTTACACTAGTTTATTTGATCTAGCACTCAGTGACACAGTATTGTTTACTAGTAGCGTTTCCAGGATAATTCACTGCTTACAATCATACTACTTTCTGTCCCAGTTTTGCAGTTCTGTTGTTTTGTTTTCTTTAATTTGATTGATAACAAGATTTTCTACATGTCGAAAATTGGTGTTGCATCATTTCGACTACCCATGTTAGGCGCTGAATTGATGAGTAGAGGTTCACTGATCCACCTCTCTCTTTCCATTTAACTACCCCTCCCTGTTGTGTGGTTGTGTGTTATCACATGCATAGCTATCCCTGAATTCTCCTCTAGATTACTCACTTTTGAAGGGTCTACAATTACTTTAATTTCAGTCAGTTACGTTTCCATTTAGTTTTTACTTTTATGTTTGAGACTGTTTATTCAGATCTTTATCAATCTTAACAGATTTATTGAGGAATTATAGGTAACTTTTGGCTCAGAATGAATTTCAACAATATGCACTTAGAAACAAAGTGTTAATGACCCCATCTTTTACATGAACCAACTGAACTCAAGCAATTTCAATGATATAAGTTACTATAAAGTAGAAGAAATAATAACTTCACCATGTATCATCGTGTTAAACTAACCAATAGCCTAATCAAATGCTCAAAAATTCTCTCCCCTGAACTGTAAGATGATTCCAACAGTTCACTGTACTCTAGATATTTTTTTCCTCGGTCAATTGTTCTAAATAATTTTCAGTGTTTTAAGGAAAATGAAATATGGAATGAAGCTGTATACATTGTAAGATCAGAAGAATACACTTAAACGGCGGTCACAACTATACAGAATAACGCGAGTGCAAATAAACATTTGACAATTAGAAAAAATGTCGCTTTCAATATAAAACGTAAAAGTATATTTACTATTCAAAATTTGGTCTAACAAACAGTGTACCGAATGCATCACCTAAATGTCAAAAAGTCAAGAGTTCACAAAAATCTTTTTCATCAACCTTTTACATAAAACAATCAGAATCCGGTTAACCAAACAGTGAATGGTTGAACACAACAAATTATTTAACATAGTGGTTATAGGAGTAAAGAGTTATCCAACTAGATATAAATTAGGAATGTAGATGTAGTGATGTAACTCTACTTTGCAAAGACAAACATCAGAAAGAATACAACAAAAGTATGACATTGAGTTGAAATGCCAGTCAAAAAAATTGTTTCACTGGGATGCAGTTGTAAAACTGGATGAGATTTATGACTTTTCTACTGATTTCAATCATTGCTGAGAAATTTAGGTAACATTGAAGCCTAGAACCTAAGTGAACTGAGAAAATATTTTAAAAGTACAAATTAATAGCTATTCAATGTATCATTGCCAATGACATCGAAGTCAGCTGATATGGCTTCCATCAGTAGAACAAGTTAGTCTTATGCAATTTTAATTTCGCTATAAAATTGTCTCAATGATCTATTTGACTTCCACACAAAACAGTGAGTAAGTAACATGACTGTTTTGGCAAATTAGACTGAAAATATTGCTGGTGCCTAAACAAGAGTGTACTGCATTCTACACAGCTTTATAAAAAAGCTGAACTGAAGCCTTCCCAGATTTTAAGGTGGATCCAATCGTGTTTTTTTCTTAGTTTGACTGCGGACGGGAAATGTAGCAGGATGCTCATATACCCTAAAATATGGGAAATTTGAAATAGTTTTAGCATAGAAACACGAGGCTTTGTAATGCGAACCGTCTAACAGGCAATTATCTTCCAGTCAAACCTACAAAATCTTGAAGCTATTCACTAAAACAATTAAATATTAATGGTAACAGTAGACGCTTCTCCATCAAAATCTTCGACTTCTTGAAAAAAACCATGACTACAGCTACAATTTCATTACATATATACACAGCTTACTGACCAACCTAGCAGCAGAGGTAAGATAAGTGTTTGTTGATCTCCGAACTTTGATGTTTAACCTTGGAAGTTTCATTCATCACTCCCAAATGTAAGCTAAAAATCAAGGATAATATGAGTAATCAATCAAGCACACTTCTGTGTGCTAAACTATGAGCTAAGTTTACTGTACGACGATCCAAATGTGCAGCTTTCAACGCTAGTCTATATTTACGATGACTTTTGATCTGCCGTGGGTATAAGTGCCACTGGATGCAAATACCAGCCAAAAATCGTATTTTGAAAACAGTATACAATCCATCAACTGGAATAAAATGCAGCAGTTCATCCTTTCCCAATACCATTCATTACGAAGTTCATTGGTTTCATAATTAGAATGAGTGGTCCGAATAGCTCAGTGGCAAAACCACCGACCTCAACAAAGGGTGACGCGGATTCAAATTTCAGGCGGACATCAGTTCCCTTGAGGTTGCAGATGTGTCTTGCTGACGAGTGCCAACAAGCACGAAATCTAAGTCTGCCGATTGCCTCCAACCAACTAACATGTATCAGAAATGCGTCACGACGGTGAACCTTCTAGACTGTTGACCACACTACAAAGTGATCGATAGAATTCAGTCAGCACTTAGTAGCAGACAAGATGAAATTGGCTGCCTTCCAGTGACTAATCAATGTGGAGTGAACATTTTCTGTCATTGACAGCTTAAATAGTCTTACAGCTTTCCACCTTAACTTCTGGATATCGACGTCAAAGTAAGTTGAAAATGAGTATTAGGTTTTTCATTGATGAAAAGTTGATTAGATGAATGGTTTTCTCTACACGCTGATCCCTAGATTAGTATCAAATAGTGATCGAAAACTCTTTTCTGTAAATTAAAAGATTCCATGTAGATTCATTCGAAACTGTTGAGCATCACTGACGAAATCGTACGAAAACATGAAACAAAGCCACTGACAAGTGACCAAATGCTCATGGATACAAACAAGATCAAGAGAAATCTGTAGTCTGTAGACTTTCTTATGACAGGTTGTCACTTCAATCACCAGGGGTTTTACCCGACTACTTTGTATAAAATGATCAGTGAGGATTTTAGTGGTTTTAAAAATTTCACACAGTGACACAGTAAAGCGTAATCTTCAAATTGTCACTTCTGCGTTTTCTTGGACACTCTTTCCTTCAGCGCTCTTCAGAGATACACCCTCTCTGGTGTATCATTGTTGAATTGCAAGATCATCTATCTCATCTACAAAACTACGCAGAAAACCTAGTCCCTGAGGTAACTTTAGCCACAGATCGTGAAGATCAATCATTTTGTTCAAAATATCAGTCTAGCATAGATGAAGGAAATTAGTTGCTAACAGTTTCATCTTCAGGTGGTCAATCCGTTACCTTATTCATTAATACATACACTCAGCAAACACTCAATCAAGCAATCAGTCCAGCCGATCGATAATATAATAATACATATCATGGAAAAAATGAGTTGCAAACCATATTCAGCTAAGTAATCCATCATTTGCCTTAAAAAAAGTAAGCACACGCAAAAAAAGGAGATAGAAAGTGAAAGAGAGAGAAGTCTTAAAGGGAAGCACTAAAAGGGATAAAATGCAAGTCAAATAGTATTTCCTTATTTCCACTGCTCTTGTTAGTTACCTACTTTCCCTTCCTCTTCTTATTCTATATCTTTCTTGTCTTGTTCTCCATCTTTTTAATGACAGAAATTAATTAGACTAATTGATCTATTAAACTGCATTGTTTATCACTTAGTAAAGTGATGTGATATGAAATTGTACTCCGTCAGTTATCATCATTATCAATCTGTTCGCTGCTTAGTACATCGTCCTACTGGCACATACATACACATATACATATCATAAATAAACATGTTAGTGTCAAAGATGTGAAAAAGAAACACAAAATACAGTGTTATTTTGACTCTGGTGATAATTAAAGGACAAAAGTAGGAAATCAAAATTGACCAGAATGATTACCATTTGAGATGAGTGATGAATAAGTTTCCTACAATCCAACACTGACCAGCACATTGGTGTGTGTGTGTGGACTTAATAACATCCACTGAAATGTAGACAAAATTTCACAGCCAGAATGTGTCATCCATAATTTGAAAGGTAATACGACCTGAGAAATGTGTATTCGCAGTTGACGAAAGTATAGCAATATAAAGCGCGGTTTTCAATTTAAAGATGACCGTGAGCTTCCTACCACTGGAAATAAAGCCTCACTCAAAATTTCCAAATCGCTATGAAAGTTTGGTGCATGGTATTCCCCTAAATAATTAAACTGTACAACTCGAATAATGAATACTATGTATTCCCAACCCATATCACTAAGTTTAGTCGTCATCATGTGTACCTCAACCGATAGATTTTCTCACATATAAATAGAAGTAGCAGACAAGTGATGCGAAATCGCTTCAAAACTGTGTCTGCGATAGTTATTCCTAACAACAATGCTCAAAGAAAAATCCACTGAATTGACTCGACCACACAGATACATTTTAGCAAAGCATAGTGGAAAAGCGATGTAGATACTCGCGTTCTAAAGTTATTTGGAAAGAATACGAACGCATGAACTAAACTCAAGGTAAGGACCTGTCAAACTGCTCAAATATGCTGGATCATTTTGGTGTGCCATCTATGGATGTACATTTTTATTTCCCATGAGTATGCTCGTTTCGAAGAAAAAGGTTTCATCAGCCGATAAATCTCGCTAATCTTTCCCTCTTTCTCTTTAA